AAAAAAAAAAAAAAAAAGAATGTCACCTGATTGCAGTGGCTCATGTCTGTAATCCCAGCACTTTGGGAGGCTGAGGTGGGAGGATCACTTGAGCTCTGGAGTTTGAGACCATCATGGGCAACATAGTGAGACCCTCATCTCTATAAAAAAAACACAAAAATTAGCTGGGCATGGTGGTGTGGACCTGTAGCCCTAGCTACTTGGGAGGCTGAGGTGGGAGGATTGCTTGAGCACAAGAGGTTGAGGATGCAGTGAGCCATGATTTCTCTACTGCACTCCAGCCTGGGTGACAGAGTGAGACCCTGTCTCAAACACACACACACACACACATACACACACACACACACACACACACACACACACAGAGAGAGAGAGAGAGAGGGGAAAAACACTGAATGTGATACAGGTATTTAAGTGCCATACCAAAAGGAGACCTTCTTCTCTCGGTGGAATGACTTCTTTCCAGTCTCCTTCCTGTGAACCTTTTTTGCGAGCTCTTCTTTCCCTAACCTCCCTTACTTTTCTGCTTAAATATTTTTCATCCTATCCCAGTACTGTAAAGATAACTTTACAAAATCATGCATCCCTAGCACATGTCAGTTTCACTTCATTATCCTCTTATTTTATTTCTTCAAATTCAGGGAAGAGCTCATTTTTTTAATTCTCCCTCTGTTATTTCAGATTATGAGTCCAGGGACAATATGGAGCTCATGGTGAAGCAGGTTTCTGATGACACCGAATCACACTGGGTGGCCCCGGAACACACGGAAAGGAGTGTTCCCCAGGGTCCAGACTTGGCAGAAGTCAGTGACCTTAAGGGCATGGTACAAAGGTGGCAGGTCAACCCCACCGTGGGGAAATCAAGGCAGAATTCTTCCCAAAAGGATCTGGGCGCAATCACAGATGTCAGCCGTAAGCAAAGCACACATGGCGAGAGAGGCCACAGATGCAGCGATTGTGGCAAATTCTTCCTCCAAGCCTCAAACTTTATTCAGCATCGGCGCATCCACACTGGAGAAAAACCGTTTAAGTGTGGAGAGTGTGGGAAGAGCTACAATCAGCGTGTGCACCTCACCCAGCACCAGCGTGTCCACACAGGGGAGAAACCCTACAAATGTCAGGTGTGCGGAAAGGCTTTCCGGGTGAGTTCCCACCTGGTTCAGCACCACAGTGTCCACAGCGGAGAGAGGCCCTATGGCTGCAATGAGTGCGGGAAGAACTTCGGTCGCCATTCGCATCTGATTGAACACCTGAAACGCCACTTCAGGGAGAAATCCCAGAGATGTATGTGTGAGGAGTTTATATCTGGGGGACAAATGGAGGCAAAAAGCAAAAGGTTTTATTAGGAAAGCACAACAGGACAGATGATACTGGGAGGGGTAGGAAGAGGCAAAGGCTATAGATGATTTGGTTCTTTCTTTCTTATTTTTGAGACGGAGTCTCACTCTGTTGCCCAGGCTGGAGGGCAGTGGCGTGATCTCAGTTCACCGCAACCTCTGCCTCCTGAGTAGCCAGGATTACAGGTGCCCACCACCATGCCTGGCTAATTTTTGTATTTTTAGTAGAGATGGGGTTTCACCATCTTAGCCACACTGGTCTATGAACCCCTGACCTTGTGTTTTGCCTACCTTGGCCTCCCAAAGTGCTGGGATTACAGGTATGAGCCACTGTGCCTGGCCCATTTTTAAATTTTATTTTTATTTTTATTTTTATTTTTTAAAGACAGGGTTTCACCATGTTGGTCAGGCTGGCCTTGAACTCCTGACCTCAGGTGATCTGCCCGCCTTGGCCTCCAAAGTGCTTGGATTACAGGCGTGAGCCACTGCGCCCGGCCTTTTTTTTTTTTTTTTTTTTAAATGGAGCCTCTGTCTCCCATGCTGGAGCACAGTGGCATGATCTTGGCTCACTGCAACCTCTGCCTCCCAGGTTCAAGTGATTCTCCTGCCTCAGCCTCCCTAGTAGCTGGGATTACAGGTGCCTGCCACCATGCCTGGCTAATTTTTGTATTTTTAGTAGAGATGGGGTTTCACCGTGTTGACCAGGATGGTCTCGATCTCTTGACCTCGTGATCCACCCGCCTCGGCCTCCCAAAGTGCTGGGATTACAGGCTTGAGCCACCGCACCCGGCCTTTTTTTTTTTTTTTTTTTAAATGGAGCCTCTGTCTCCCATGCTGGAGCACAGTGGCATGATCTTGGCTCACTGCAACCTCTGCCTCCCAGGTTCAAGTGATTCTCCTGCCTCAGCCTCCCTAGTAGCTGGGATTACAGGTGCCTGCCACCATGCCTGGCTAATTTTTTTGGTATTTTTGTTAGAGATGGAGTTTCACCATGTTAGCCAGGATGGTCTCGATCTTCTGACCTTGTGATCTGCCTGCCTCAGCCTCCCAAAGTGCTGAGATTACAAGCGTGAGCCACTGCGCCTGGTGCTTTTTTAAAAAATCTGCTTTGATTATTAACAGCCGTGCTGCATCATCCATCATGGCATAGAAATCACTAAAGTGTCTTATGGCCGGGCTCAGTGACTCATGCCTGTAATCCAAGCACTTTGGAGGCCAAGGCAGGTGGATCACCTGAGGTAGGGAGTTCAAGAAATCACTAAAGTGTCTTTAAAGTTCTGGGTTGAGCTGAGCTATCCTCTCAGCTAGTGTTTTCCCATTCTGCTTGATGACTGCCTCATTTGGGAAATCTACCAGTAGTGCTTTGGATTTGAAAAGCAATTGCTTTAAAATGGTTATCTTCTTTTATACCTTCCCTGCAATTGTTTCTATAGCTAGTTTCCCAGTGAATACTCAACTGCCTCCCCCATTTTCTGTTTTTTTTTTGTTTTTTGGGGTTGTTTTGAGACAGGATCTCTCTCTGTCACAAAGACTGAGGTGAAGTAGTGGGATCTCAGCTCGCTGTAGCCTCCATTTCCTGGGCTGAACTAATCCTCCCATCTCAGCTTCCTGCATAGCTGGGCCTACAAGCGCACACCACCACAGCCAGCTAATTTTTGTATTTTTTGTAGAGATGGGATCTGGCTATGTTGCCTAGGCTGGTCTTGAACATCTATGCTTAAGCAATCCTCTTGCTTGGGCCTCCCCAAGTGCTAGGGTTACAGGTGTGAGCCATCATGCCCAGCCCTTCCTCATTTTTCTGCATTAAAAGGGGAATACTTGCTTTGCACATCCAGCCATATTATTGAGAGTCTCTGTTGCTAGTTGCACAGGATCCGTAGTGAACAGAACAGAGATACAGTCCATGCCCTCATGGAGCTGATGGCCTGTTGTGGGTAGCAGATAATAAAGGTGATGAGCAGTCCTGAAGGAGAAGCATGACGTGCGGGGGGAGGAAAACTGAGGCTAGAGTCTTGGCTAAGGGTGAAGAGGGCAGTGATTGCCGTATCACCCACCCTCTTGACAGTGCTTCTTGTCGGCTCATTTTGCCTTTTTTCCTGGCTCCTAGTCAGACATCCCCTGACTCCATGCCCTCTTCATCATCCTTCGCTCCCATTCTTTCAATTTTTGTCAGTTCTTACCATCCAGTTGTTATGTTTTT